ATGCAAACCATATGTATGTACATGAGGCAAATAGTAATTATTTATAATATGTTCTTATTTTAGGTAATCCCAGATGAGGTTCAGTCATCTTCTTTCATGATCGAGTGTGTAGGGCCAGCAAAGTTACTCTCCTTTTGGTTAGAAAGCTATTAAAATAGGAGGATTGGGCATTGCTGTAGCCTTCATACACTTCTTCGGCCTCTGCACTGGAGACTATTAGAATTCCTCAAGAGTAGGGAGTGCCCGTAACTGGTTAAACCTGTTTTCAAATATAAGTTATATGTCTTTTGTTACAATAATCAAATTTGCAATCTTGAAACCAGTTGTTATCTAGGTGTTCTTTCAAGCTGTTGGCATCCCCAGTTTCTTTTTTGAAAAAATAGCATTTTATGGCACTTTTGAATCATCTATTCTCCTTCCCTTCCCTCCCCCTCTCTCTTTAGTCTACTGGTACTTTTTTATAATTGTCAAGATCCAAATAGCAGAGATATTCAGAGTCCTCTTTTATGAATGAAGGCTTCTTTGAGAGCTGCCATGAACAACTGATTCCTCTTCAGGTGTCACTTACTATTGTACCTCTTGGCTTTGCTTTTTGGTGTTGTAATTATTAGGTCCTATCACCTATCCAATATAAACCCTCTACCAATTTATTCTCACATTTCAGTGTTTCTAGTATGTTTTTATTTTTAATCTGTACCACTGCCTCTTAAGAAATATAAGCACACTTATTGTCTGGTGGACTTTTTATCTTCCATGGAAGGTAGGATAACAAGCAGAAAATAATAATGACTCTCTCAGAAGCTATATATTTTGTCTTTAGAAATGCAACCACTTTAAGTAGGTATTCATGTTAAAATGGAATGTTTGGGGGGAGGGGCTGGAGTAGTTACTTGGGGGACACAAGCCTTTACTACTCTTGCAGAGGACCATTTGGTTTCCAGCATCCACCTGAGGTTACTTACACTCACCTTAACTTCAATTCCAGAGAATCTAGTATTCTCTTCAGACCTCCATTTGTATTACAGTCATCTACATAAACTTGAACACAAACATGTTTGCTTCATTAAAATATATGTATTAGAAAATGATGCCAATCCCTTAATAAATAAACATCTGGGAACATTCTTACTTTACATTAAAATAAAACATGAGAATTTGCAAGCAACAACTTTAACATGAACGTCCTTTCTGCCTTACAGAGCAGAGGTTGTGAGAGATCTCTTGGCATGAGACTCTCAACAGTGTCTTCAGAACGTAAAATATTAGGGAGAGATGGATATGTAGTAGACACTGGCAATGCAGTTGACTAGACCCATAGTGCAATGGCTGCAGAGTTTTATGGGAGTAAGTATTGTAGGAAGGAGAAACAATTTCTCCCAGCAGGAAGATAAAATATATGTGAGGGTCTGTCCATCAATAATCATGCTGTAACATCTTGCTCTTCCCTATAAAACAGTACATTTTGGAGTATATTTTTACCAAAAAAAATGGCTCTTACATCTCTGTCAACTCATAGTATCATTACATTTTCCTGTCCCACACAGACACAAATATGTAAATTTGAATATTAGCATCCGAGTTAACTTAGCTGGCTTATTTCTGTTCACTGAAGTATAAAGTCAGAAACATTCAACTGTTTTCAGGAACTCATTGTCTCCAAATTGACAGGATATGAGATAAACCTGTCTTGAGAGTGACCACAGAAACCTGTCACATATAAAATTCTCTTATTGTAATAATGTTGAATGCATACATGTACTAGGTCTGGGCCTACACATTATCTCACAAGAGTCCAAACTCCTGGTAAGATGGCCAATGGTTAGTAAGATCTATTATGTGTCTTCTTCCTTAACACTTCCTTGCTACAATATAAATGAGCCTGAATGAGTTAAGTCTCTCTACTGTGTATGGCTATCATCACTGCTCTCTCTTAAGTCAAAATTGACATATGTAGGCATCCTCAGAAAAGTTTTTACTTTGACATGTCATGAATTCATTTATAGTCTGAAAATTCTGTTTAAAGTATTTCTTATGAAAATGTCATAGATTTTCTTAACATTAATTATCAAGGTTTAACAGCTAACATATTCATGAGTCCTTTAACAAAGACCTTCATTTATCTTATCCAACTTAGTCACCTTTTTGTGCAACTTTAACAGACACTAACATGACTTTATGCTTATTTCTCTTTAGAAACAAGACTTTGCAGATTTGTCAACCACTACAGAGTCAGTTAGAGACGAGATTTTATTCAAACACCTTGAACTGAGAGTATTGCTTGATCCACCTGGTAGTGACTTACTGAAGATGGTGAGGACTCACAGCTGGACACTGCATCTGGAGAGCTATGTTTGGAGCCTCCAGATAACACTTGGCTTCTCCTGTGTGCTTTAGGAGGGGCTGCCTCTATTCTAGCATCTCTTTTTAACAAAAACAAAAGTATTCAATTATCAAGGTTTAACAGCTAACATTTTCATGAGTTTTTTAACAAAGACCTTCATTTATCTTATCCAACTTAGTCACCTTTTTGTGCAACTTTAACAGACACTAACATGACTTTATGTTTATTTCAGGATTTGTCAACCACTGAAAAGTCAGTCCAAGAAGAGATTGTAAACAAACACAATGAACTGAGAGGTTCGGTTAATCCACCTGGTAGTGACTTACTGGAGATGGTGAGGACTCACAGCTGGACACTGCCTCTGGAGAGCTATGCTTGGAACCTGCAGATAGCACTAGGATTTATGAGGCACCTTCTTACGGCTGTAAAAATAGTCTTAGCACTTCCACGTGGTTAGTGCTACTCGTAGAACAGTAAGCACTCCAAGTCTTCAAGGGATCCTGTTGTGATTTCAGCAAGTCATCAGGCCATTAAATATTTTAGTATTTCTGATGACCTTAGGAAGACTGACTATTTGTATTTATTTGGTACAGAAAGGGTCACGTAAAAGTGGAAGTAACTTTGGACATAGATTATGAAACTACTAAGAAGATCGAGAGAGGGTGGAAATGGACTATAGAAGACACAGAAAGAACTAAACAGAACATGTGTGACATCAAAGGAAGGTTAGGAGTGGGAGGGCGTGAATGAGAGGATAAGAAGGATCAGGAAGATGGGGGAGGAAAATATGCAAAAATAAACTTATTAATAAATGTTGTAATGAGAGTTAGTAATATATATGCTACCATAAAAATTTAGATATATTCTATATTATATATTGATTATGATGACAGTCAGAAGGTGCCTACCTTTTTGCAATGATAAAAGTCCTCATATCAGCCTGTCTGCAAAGATCATGTGACTTTGAGGTCTGAGTTTTCACATGGCTGTTTTCTTTACTTTTCCTCTTTAGAAGTGGAACAGTGATGCCCAAGTAAATGCACAGACCTGGGCAGACCAGTGCGCTTATCAACATAGTTCTCAGGAATCCAGAAAAATCAAAAGTATGTATACTCAAAATTACTTATAATAAAATAGAGAATAAAAGCCCATTTTATATCATGCTTAAAAACATTGTAAATAAATGCCTATTCTGACACTGCCTTTCAAAAAATTTAAGTATCTCTGCCTTTTAAAAAAGTTAAGTATCTCTGCCTTTTTAAAAAATGTTAAGCACTTCTGAAAGGCTCCCTCCATTCTGTGCTTGTTGAATGCTTTATATTTTACACAAACTGTCTTTCATGATGCCAGCTTTGATCCTTGTGACCAGATCACAAGTGAAACAAGGTCTGGATCATTGCTTTCTCTGTTTTGAAGACGGAAACTGAAGTCTGGATGAAAATAATTACTAATTAAGATCTTATAAAGGAAATTTAAAACTGGAATCTTTTATTTCACTCTTTTTTTTATATATATGCAAGTGTGTCTCTGTGTATTTATGCACATGTGCACTTATGTAAAAGTGCTTCTAGAGGCCAGAACAAGGAGTCAGATCCTATGATGCTCACAGGTCACAGGTTGATACAGTGTTGCTGTCACAGGTGGTTGTAAGTTATCCAGTGTGGATGCTATGAGTTGGGTTCAAGTCTCCTGAAATAGTAAGGTGCGCTCGTACATGCTCAGTCATTTTCCCTGGCCTCTGAAATCATAATTTCCATATTTTAATCTAGTATCTTATCTGTACACTATGAGTAGCTGAACGATACATTATGTTAAATTAAAAATAAACTATGAAACATAATCTTCACATAAGGGTAAAATGATGACAAAATAAATAAATGGGTAATAAGATTAAATATTTCTTGAAACATTAAATATGATCACCTTTTTCTCCAAATTAAATCTAGTAAATTAATCACCTCTTTTCAAGGTTTTACAACTTAGATATTCTTAATTTAATAACACAATGATTAAAATTTAACTTTAAAGGCTACAGTTAAAGTTTAAAGTAAATGTTTATTTACAGAGCTTGGAAAAAACCATTAAACTATTTTTTAGGGTTAAAGATATTTTCTCCCATTTTCTGAAGAAAATATGGTCCAGAAATTTTAATTTCCTAGTTAAGACATTACCTATAAACTGTAAAAATATAGTCCCTTCTCGTTTTGTTTGCTTTGTACTTGTAGTTTTGAAAGAATGACTATAAAGAATGCTCACACAGAATAAATATCCTAAATATGTAAAATGTTTATATAAGAATCTCTAGGAGATTACAGGAGAAAAATGGAAGGTGCTAGTCTTTGTCTTCTCTATGACTGCAAATTTACATTTATTTTACATGAGACTCACTCACATGTGAGTGCACACACTTGTGTGCGGATACACACACACGTATCGAGAATTTAAGGTGTGAATAAATGAGATCAAAGAGAGAAGCTACTGAGGAAAAAACTTTCCTACTAAGTGCTTATGGTGTTCAGCACAAACATGTTGATACCTCTGGCTACTGTTCAGCCAAAAGTTCTTTAGGTCTGAATCATGCTTGTTATGTTATTCAAAAGGAACTGCAAAAGATGACTTTAAAGAACAGGGATCCCATTCGTGTGTGTGTGTGTGTGTGTGTGCTCCACTTTTTTCTCTATTGCTGTCTTCATGAGTGGCCTATTTTTCCCCCATAGACTTAAGATGTGGTGAAAATATCTTCATGGCATCTTACCCGGCAACATGGTCTCAGGCCATCCAAAGCTGGTATGATGAATCCAAAGATTTTAAGTTTGGTTCAGGGCCAACAACACCGGGTGCGGCAATTGGACATTATACTCAGGTAAGAAAAGGGACTTTCTATTAGTGCTGGGCAAGGGAAAAAATTTTAATGACTTGATTGATTGCAAGGCAGAATTTCAGTGCAGAGAATTTGTATTTTCTTTTTGAGAGAGGGTCTCACTATATAGCTCCGACTGACTTTGAATTTCCATCTTCCTATCAGTCTCCCAGTTTCAGGGTGTATAGCGAGAGTGCACACCAGCCACATAGCCTTGGGAAAGATCTTGTGTGGTTGGTTATACATTGGCCTTGACAGTCATTGGCTATTGGAGCTGCCATCTTTCAATGGCTTATCTAACCTTTGTAAGGGAATATACTTGATTTTTTAAATCTCATTTCTTGACTCCAGCCCCCAAACAAACGTAATGTCAAGGCTGTGCATCAGCTCTATATGGCTCCTAAGTTAAATGGGGAAATGTATATCCTGGAGTTTTGTTACCAGAAACCCTGCCAGGTGGCTTCCTGCTGGACCTACAGGCTCAGGCCCTGGTCCCTTTCCCATCAAAAAGTGGCTCTTTAAGCAAGAATTACAGGATTATGCCTCTATCCTGTCCACTATCAAAAAAGGTCTTTCAAACCTAGGAGAGAAGGTGATGTGGTGATCCTGCTTGGCTTCATGGAGAAAATATCCAGATGTCGTATAGACAGGGGCAACTCCTAATTCATGGCCTAATCAGATCCTGTAGACTGAGAGACTTGAGCTGAATCACAGTTTCAAAATGGAGCCAGGAAATTCAAGAACACAACTCTACAGAGGAGCACCCCCCATACACATCTTGGACATATTTATTGTTACTACATAGCAGGCTTCCACCAGGCTTGGACCAGCAAGGCTTGCATGCCAACCACTATTCCTGCCCACACACAAATGAAGATACTCATGGCCACAGCTTAGCACCAAACTAGACAACCTCTTCTGTGAAGCTGGAGGAAGTTCTGGTTCATCTCTCAAGGTCAACGCTCTATGAGCACAGGACACTTGTTTTTGGAAAATACCTCAGTGTACATACCTTCAAGGTAGTCAGCAACAGCGTCATGGTCAATTTGATGTCTGACCAGGAATTGACCTGCTATCCTGGTTACCCTTTGGCTGTCTATGTTCATAAACCTGAAGGGTTGGAAGCAGCGTCAGAGAAATTCCACATCATACCAAGTTCCTCTGGTGTCTGTAGATTCTTTGATTCTTTTCATTGTGCCATGAAGCTTCCTGGCCTCAGCCCAGATATCTGTATCTTCATCATCTTGGAAACTCTCAAAGATGTTAAAGAACAGCTTCTCTGAAAAGGAGCTGAAGCTACTGTCAGCCTCCATAAATTACTCTGGGAGCTTCCTTATAATTTTGCCAGACGAGCTGACCAACATCAGCCCATTAAGGCTGTTTTAACATCTGTAGATTGATTCAATAATTTAAATCTGCCAATAAGGATTCTAAACAAAATAGAACATCAGTGCTTGAATTTTATATTTTCTATTTGTTTTACAACATTATTTTTCTCTCTGACATGTGCCTTGTCTTCGTCTCTGGGTGTATAGCTAGTTTGGAATTCTTCTCACCAACTTGGATGTGGAGTCACTGAGTGCCCTAACAACCCATTGAAATACTTGTATGTTTGTCACTATTGTCCTCCGTAAGTATCCACTTCAATTTGACATTTTTAATGATCATAGTTTCAAAACAAATTAAAAACATTTTACACACAAAAGGGAAATAAATTTTAAATATTCTTTAGAGTAGAAACTTATATAACTGAATCTTTGAAATGTACAACTCAGCAGCTTCACTAATCACACTCAGAAGCTTTTCCTTTCCTTTCGAAATGATTTCTCTTCCCTCCTCGATTGCTGCTTCCTAAACACATAATACAGGGATTATGAAGCTCATATTTTCAGTTTGTGCTGTGTTTGGAGGCTACAAAGCAAACTTTTAATATTCGACTAGGGCTAAGCATGAGTGAATGACTCAGATTAGTGATGTGGTCCTTCTAATTAAGCTGACCCTATCCCTGATTATATAAGTTGTCATAATTTTTAAAATTTCATTGCTGAGCAGCAGTCGTGTTTTACGCCTTTAGTCCCAGCACTTGGGGGCAGAGGCAGTCCAAGCTCTGTGAATCCAAGACCAGTCAGGGCCCCACGGAGAAACCTTTTCTGAAAAATCCAAAAAAAGAAAAAAAAATAATTTATTGCTTTTGGTTTTGAGAATTTCATATAGGAGTACCATGTTTCCATCATTTCCACACTTCCCTATCCTCCTTCAAATCTTCCTCTCTTCTCCTCCACACCTTCTCTAAAAGTCATGATTTCGTCTGTACACACACACACACACACACACACACACATCAAAACATGCACACACAAAATATCACCAAGTCCATTTAGAGTTGTTCTTCTGTGCAAGTGTTTAGAGTTGACAACTTGGAACTGGATACGCTATCAAGAGTCTTTCTCTGAAGAAAACTTGATCTTCCTTTCTATATAGCCTTTGGCTGTCACCCTTGGTTGCCTCCCTGAACTTGAAAATAAGAGTCTATTGCTAAAAACACATCAACTTCAGACACAGGAGTTGGAAGCATCCAGCTGGAATTCACCTGGAAGTTACCTTCCTGCAGACTAGCTTTCATAGTATTAAATGGTGCTATATAAACTGCCAAGAAAAAAAAATTACCAAGAGTGTTATCTTTTTGCAAAATCATAGTAATGACTGGCCTAGTTGTTATTTTTCCAAACTTTATTTTTGTTGCTTTGTTTATGCATATGCACAGTACCCCACAAAGACCAGAAAAGTGCACTGAATCCCATAGACCTGAAGTTAAAGGTGATTATGACCTACTTGATATGGTTATTGGGGATCAAACTTGGATCCTCCAAAGGAATAGCAAAATTTCTTAACCACTGAACCTTCTTTCCAGCCCCATGTTGCTACCTTCTACCTGTAAGAATTTATTAAATCTTAGACTTCAAAGGCTCTTTGAGAAGTTTTTTAACATATTTCCAACAGTTAAGAAAGCTAAAATCTTAATTCTTTCTCCTCAAAATGTACTAAAATTCTAAAAATCATGTTCAGTGGAACTTAATTTTAAAGACAGAAAT